GGCTTATTACAGCAAGCTTAAAACCATTAAACGCTACAAAAAAATGACATCTTAGCAAGTTAAAATATATTGAATATAGTCAAAATGGTCCATTTTTCCTTGTAGAAGAATGCAAGACATCAAATCTGAGATTATTAAACCTATTTGTAGACGATCTTTACTCATTTCAAGCTAGAAATAGTCTCATTCTATTAGCAGATAATTTTGATCATTTTAAACATTTATTTCTAGAAAGAAGCAAAATTATCTGCTAATAGAATAAGATTTTTAAATAGAATTTAAAGCTTAAAATTAGTACAATATGTCCGGAAGTAGGTTTAATAATCTTCTGTTTGTTTATTGTAATCTTATAATAGGAAAAGTACATAAATCTGACTATATTCAAGATGTTTTCACTTGCTAAGATCTTTTTTTTTTTTTTTTTTTTTTTTTTTTTTTTTTTTTTTTTTTTTTTTTTTTTTTTTTTTTTTTTTTTTTTTTGCAGTGTAAGAACATTTTCATAAAATAAAAGCTTGACTGAATCTAACTGAAATATTGCACAATGCATGAACATTTCTAATGAATCTTCAGACGATCTGTAAAGCACTTTTATTGATAGACATTTGCCACAAAGCAGCTTTACAGACATTCAGATGTAGATTTTGATCCACACTGAACAATCCAGATGTGATAGCGGTGAGGGAAAAAAAAAAAAACCTGGAGAGGAGCCAGACTCAAAAGGAAGACAAGGATAGTGCGGATGTAAATCATTACACCACAGTGCTGTTGAACACTCGATTCTGATTGGTCAGAAGGTGTTGATTAATTTTCTATACCAGCAGCTCTGACAAAAATGCAGCTGCAAATCAGGTTTATATTAATTCCTGTTTCTATAGTAACGACTTACGCAGGGACTTGTATGGCAGCTGCGCTACATAATCTAAAGCTCGAAAGAAACCAGTTTAAAAACAGAAACACATACTTATGTGATTATTACGGATCAGGAAACGTTTTTTTTAATAAACTACATTCTGCACCTCTACAGTTCACTGCAGTCGTACTACATTTTTATAGGCCATTATTCCTAACTGTGCTGTTATCCATGATCACATCATCTCCTGTGCACGTTTTCAAGCTTCTCTGCAAAGCTAATTTAAAATTATTGCAAAAAAAAAAAAGACTTTTGGCAAGTGAACAAATCCTCAACATAGTCAAATGTATTTCCTATTACAAGATAACAATAAACTAAACTACACATTTTTATTCGGTTCAACTTTGAAACATTCTTGTTCTACTGGCAGGTCAAACACTAAATTTCTAATAGAATGAGAAACCGTTGCGTCGCACCTCTGGGCTGGGGGGTTCGAATCCCGCCTCCGCCCTGTGTGTGTGGAGTTTGCGTGTTCTCCCCGTGCTTCGGCAGGTTTCCTCCGGGTCCTCTGATTTCCTCCCCCAGTCCAAAGACGTGTTGTAGGCTGATTGGCATTTCCAAATTTTCTGTAGTGTGTGTGTGTGTGTGTGTGTGTGTGTGATTGTGCCCCATCCAGGGTGTCCCCTGCCTTGCACCCCGAGTCTCCTAGGATAGGCTCCAGGCTCCCTGTGATCCTGCGTAGGATAAGCAGCACAGAAAATAGATGGATGGAAAGCTTGAAATGAGTAAAAGCATCTTAAAACAGGCTGAATAATATTACATTTGAGTTACAATAATTGCCTATTGAGAACTATTAGATCAACTGCTCATATTCATGATATTTTCACTTGCTTATGTGCAGCGTCGTGTCGTTATACCCAGTTTCACGTACATTGTACTTGATGTGTACGTACACTACTCAGCACAGGAGACATAATCAATACCCCAACACTTTACACTGATTAATCGCTTGTACTTGTCAGAGCTAGAGCTTTGCTCAGCACGCTCTGTGTTATAAACAATGTTTGTTCAAATCTGCCCAATTAAGGGAGATGTTTAGATGTGTGCTGATGTTCATATTCAGCGTTGTTGAATTCTCAGTTCTGATCGGTCAGAAGGTGTTGATTAATTTTTTTATAGCAGCAGCTCTGACAGTAGTTCCAGCTACAAATCACGGGTTTATATTAATGCGCCCCTTCTAATACGTCATAGTTTCTATATTAATAAATTACACATGGACTTATTGTATGTGGTGGATGCTCCACATAAACGAACTTTTAAAAAAGACAACATTCTGTAAAGAAATTTTTTTTGTGTATTTAAGATTTATGGAAGGAGTCACCAGTGTCAGCGCTTTGTAACAGTCCGAGGTAAAGCTGTAACTTTCGGTTATCTGACACGGGAACGTCTTCAGGACAGAGGAGTTTATGCTTTTCTCGATAACATGACCAGCTGCGTTTTTTTTCTATATTCAAGAGAGAGAAACAAATAGAGGCTGGTGAGGGGACGACTGCTGCTATAAGGTAAGTGATAACAGGAGCTAACTTGTTTTGCAGACGTTCCACAACATTAACTGTAACAATAAACAGATATAAACATTTGATGTGGTGATCTTTAATAAATTTAAAAAAACGGTAATAGTTGGCAATTCGCTATGGTATAAGTAGAATAAAACACATCAGGATGTCCTATAAGTGCAAAATTATCAGCTTTGCTTCATCAGATCATTCTGTTGTTGATTATTTTCCTATAACAGCACACGCCTAAATGGTTTATTCCTTACATACAGTATTTACCGAGTCTTGGCCCTTTAGCAGACAGACATGTCAGCTCTCTCGTACTTAATGTTTGGTTTCTTCTGCTCTATAAAGTTGTCTTTGGGTCATTATTTAATCAGTTAATCTTTTATAGATCCTTGATTTTCCTCATACAGTTTTAAATCGTGTGCGTTTGGTAGAGAATGAGAGTGTTGCTGCTTAAGCTGCTTAGAAAATTGATTGGCTCTCTGCTTTGTGGACGGTCGTTGGCAGAAAGTGGAACATTTATTTTGCTGTCGGCTTTTCCATGTTCTCTGGCTGAACACGAGCAGAACAACACGAGCCGAGGGCCAAATGAGCCAGCGCTGTTTATAAAGTGCTCGCAGCTGCTTTGGGGAGCTCAGTGAAGAGAATGTTTTTCACTGCTCTTGGACTTGCAGGGGTTTTTACCCACTGGAGCCTTTATTCATTACACACTAACAGGAGATTATTTAATCGAAGCCAGATTTGATTATTTAAGCGCCAATAGCTCAGCAATGCCAACGCTTTCAGTGTTATAAAAAATTCTCACGAACTTCCTGTGATTTCAGCACAGATTTATTTTGAATGAACATAATCCCACTACTCAAACAGGCAACCATGCATCATTTCACTTATTTATACGAGGCATTAGAGATTTTTATTCCTGTTATCCCTGAACCTTCCACATACAGAACCCAAACCAGTGGTAAATTATAGATCAGAATTTTTTTTAAAATCATATAAACAACACTTTTCCTATTTTTATTTATATTTCAGAGAGAATGAAGTTGGATCAGTTATCTTTTATACTTGTTTTAAAGATGTCAACATTCATTTTCAAATCAGAACTGCACTGTAATCTGCGAGTGAGCTCTCAGGCTGCAGTAATATGTTCATTCTCTATCGGTGTATACAGATCGTTGCTGCTAAAATTAATATTTTGAATATTTTTTGTATCACACTAACAGCACTTTTCCTTGTTTTTAAGAAAAAAAATGCAGATACAATGAAGGATTATGTGTACTTGTTTTAAAGTTATCAGAGCAGATAGATAGATAGATAGATAGATAGATAGATAGATAGATATTATTTATACCCAATGCCCTTTAGGATTTTAAAATGACAGAACGTTATAATAATAATAATAATAATAATAATAATAGTAATAATAATAATAATAATATAGGTTAGCCGCACAACATGTCAGAGCAACAGCAGATAGCATGTGATGTGAGATAAAGGTCTTAGTTTTAGTACCAGTACCAGTAACCAGATCCTCTCTGTCTGCAGTAGTGTTCGTACTCTATCGGTTTTTACACTGTAAATTGGCCTCTGATTTCAGTCTGTGAATAAAATAACTCCCATGATGAAGGAGTGAGATGTTTTGCACGTTTACTTTCCCGTTTATTCAGGGCTGGGTAGAAAATCTCGACTCTGGCACGGTGCTGTGTTCCTCTAATCAGTGCCGACTCCTCAGTGACGGACGGAGCCAGGTGTTGCTGCAAACGATTTCATTCTTCAGCAGTCTGTCAGTTAAGTGTGTGTGTGTGTGTGTGTGTGTGTGTGAGAGAGAGAATAATGTGTAAATGAGTTTATGCAGAACAGAAAATGCTTAGGAAAAAAAATCATACAGATGTGGTTAAAATGATATTTTAAGTGAACTTGCGTTCCATATTGTGTAGTGTTACAACCTGGAACTGAAATGCACTTAATGTCCTGAATCTTTACAAGATAGCGCTTCATACTGAATTGGAGGGAAAATCAATACAGTTTGCAGAATTCATCAGAAGTCAGATAAACACGGACAGTCTGAAAAACAGCTTTCTCCACCCAAAGCTGTGGCCTCCATCAATCCCCTCCCAGTGCGTGTTACACATGCAAGAACTGCCACTTGACATATTTATTGTTATTTGTTATTTTGCTGCTCATTCCTGTGTACATCATTTCTTATGTTTCTTATAATTAGTCAAATAGAATTGGCCTGTGTATATTTAAAGTGTCACATGATCTCAATATAAATACCCGTTCCAATCGCAGAGTTCTTTAGAGAATCTAAACTAACTGCATCATGAAGTGAAGTGACATGTAGCCAAGTACAGTGACCCATCCTCAGAATTTGTGCTCTGCATTTAACCCATCAAAGTGCGCACACACCCGGAGCAGTGGGCAGCCTCAAGGGTCTCACCTCAGTTGTGGTATTGAGGGAGGAAGAGAGCACTGGTCATTCACTCCCTCCACCTACAATCCCTGCTGGACCTGAGACTCAAACCCACAACCTTCAGGTTACAAGTCCAACTCTAACCATTAGGCCATAACTCCCCCTGTAAAGGTTATAGCAGTAGTGGGACTTGAACCCACACCATTGAAATGACTGGAGCCTAAATTCAGCTCCTTAGACCACTCGGCCACACTACCATGGAGCATGTAAAACCAAGTCTGGAACAATCTGCATCACATCACACCATCATTGATTATTTTCCTATAACAGACCCCCCAATCCACCCCACCCCAAAGTGTGTTGTTCCTTATTTATTTCTGTCTCTACATTGTTAATTCTCTCATGTTGGAACCTATGGGGAGGGGTACGGTGGTTTATTGGGTAGCACTGTTACCTCATACCTCCGGGGTTGGGTGTTCGAATCCCGCCCCTGGTGTGTGTGTGTGTGTGTGTGTGTGTGTGTGTGTGTGTGTGTGTGTGTGTGTGTGTGTGTGTGTGTGTGTGTGTGTGTGTGTGTGTGTGGAGCTTGCATGCTCTGCCTGTGCTTCGGGGGTTTCCTCTGGGTTCTCCTGTTTCCTCACCCAGTCCAAATGTATGAGTTCCTGGGTGATTGGCATTTCCAAATCGTCTGGAGTGTGTGTGCAATTGTGCCCTGCGATGGGTTGGCACCCTGTCCAGGTTCCCCCGAGTCCCTGTGTAGGATAAGCAGTACAGAGAATGGATAGATGTATGGATGGACCCCTACACACCCTTACCTTAAGAGGTTTTCCTAAGTTACAGCTGACTGTTATGAAACGCTGACACTGGAGACTCCTTTCTTTCATAGATGTTAAATAAACATTTCCTCATAGGAAAACACACATTTTTTTAATCACTGATTTGTCTTGGAGCCAGAACTACAGTGAGAGCACCTGTGATAGAAAATTAATCAACACCTTCTGACTAAGCAGAATCGAGAATTCAACAGCAATCTTTGTAAAGCATTTCGGCTGACGAGGTTAAAGGAAAATTCACACTCCCGCCTGTCTATACATAATTTCTTATAGCAATTTAAATGACAAAATAGCAAGCGATCTCTCAAATTGGGCAACCTTGAGTAAATTGAGCCTTTTTGTGTGTAAATAAAACAATTCCCGCTGGTGAAGCCATGAGATGTTTGAAATGTTTGAGCAGAAGCTGTGTTCCTGCAGCCAGCACCAAGACCGCAGTCAGCTATCAGAAGCTTCTGGAAGGGAAACCTGAGACGCAGTGTAGAGAGAAAGCGAGAGAAACACATTTCTGTCACTGAGCTAAGTGGAAAATTCACATCATTTCTTACACGATTGCAAGGTAAGTGGAAAATTGAAACCGTTCATCACGTCAGTGCAGCATGAAGCCCGCTGACAGAAAGTTTGTGCACCCTCATCAGCCTCATCATTTCTCACACTGACACATTGTAGAGGTAGCTGAGCTCTGGTGTTAATCCTCTGTGTAAATGATACGCACTTTACAAAGCAGAATATACACAGTATACCGTGTGATATATCGATTAACTTGAGCTGAACGTTTATTGCGCCGTTCGAGTCAAGACAGGCTCCCATTAACACACACATAAATAAACGTAAGGACTTGCTTGGTTCTGGTTTATTGATTTGAGGGTCTATTTATAGCTCATGCTCCATGAGGTCTGCTTTTTTTTTTTTTTTTTTTCTCAGCAGAGCAGTTATGCTTTGCTAACACCACCTTCTTGGATTAGGAGATTAATGGCACCCTGATGCATCGTTACCTCTCGCAAAGCCCAGTGTTTGGAGATTGATAATGTTTCACTCAGCTGCACAATTATCAGTAAAGGCTGGATATTGCCTTATAATACTGTTTTATTTCACTAATCACGTCCAAGTGCATGCTTATGCATTCACACATGCTCTTTTTATTAAACTGTTTAATAATTTAAATTATTAAATAATAAAAGAAAAATAGTGCAATTCCATGAAAACTTGATAATTAATTTTATATTAAAGCGTTAAATGTTATTTTTTAAATACAATTTTTGTTTTAATTATTTTTTAAGTAAAGTATTTTTAAATTTAAGTTACACATTATTTTTGTAAAATCTAAGAAAACTTGCATTTAATAAAAAAGTGTCAACCCATCTCAGGCAATAATCTCTCTCTCTCTCTCTCTCTCTCTCTCTTTACAAGGTTTCTTTACTGGCAGTAGAAAGGGTTATTTTATTTTATTTTATTTTATTTTTACATAGAATTAGCACACATACAAATCTGTTTATCTAAAATCCATGCTAATGGCACGCAGACATTACAGTAAAGACTTGATAATGATTTATTTAAAATTAATTTTTAAGTGAATCATTTACTTTCAGTGTGCACTATAAGAAAAAAAGGTTAAATCTAAAACCGTAAAGGGTTGTCCCTCTGATAGAAACCTTAAAGTAGAACACATTCAGGAATTTAAAGACCATTAACGATCAAGTGAACCCTTTTTCTTCTGGGTGTACGGATTAGAAGAGAACATACTAGAACATGCATTCACACATTCCCTGTTTTTTAAAGAGTTCAGTGGCTTCTGAATCAATTTGGACCCATTCATTCAGTTTTTGCACACTATATTGTGTTATAGATTTAATTTCAAATGGATTAAATGGACTTTTTGGCCATTAATCTACACGCAATAAACTATAGTGACAAAGTGAAAACATTTTTTTTTTTTTTTTTTTTTAATTCCTGCAAATTTATTAAAAATCAAAAACTGAAATCTCTTATTTAGCAGTGTTCAGCCCCTTGGTTAAAAAGGTACTCCAAACTGAACTCACATATTAGATAATAACCTACTAGAACATGCACATATGCTGTCCTTTCTTTCTTTCTTTTTTTGAATAAATATATATGTACAAATGAAACTAAAACATACTAGAACATGCATTCACACACGTTCACTCTTTCTTCATGAATTTACTTTCAGATTAGATGAAAACATGCATTTAGAGACACTCGTTTTTTTTTTTTTCATAATCTGTGTGCCTGTAAGATGAGAACATGCTAGAGCATGCGTTCACACCTTCACCCACTTGAGATTGATGCATTGACATGAACTCTGAGCATCTGGAGGATCAGGCTGAGGACAGCAGAGCTGCTTCAGGACAGAGATCAATACACAAGAGTTTAATCACATGTGGGGGGAGTGTAGGCATACACACCAGCTGTGATTTATGTGTGTGTGTGTGTGTGTGTGTGTATGTAATGACACTGTTAGCCACACTGCTCGCAGGAACGTATCAGAGCGCTCCATGGGTACGTTGCCTGTAAAGGAGCGCACAAATGACAGAATACACAAAATATGATATAGTACCTCATGGCCATGTTAAACAAAATCAGTCGCACGTGCAAATGAGAGAAAGATTCATCTCATGACCTCTCCACAGCTCCGTATTAAAGCCACTTATATACTGAAATATTGCTCTATGGTGTGTTTATTGTTCCCGGCACACCTCATGCAACATTCACATTCACACCATCTTACTATCCTAGTGAGGACCTTCCCCTGACATAATTTTTAATGCTAATTAGAAAGCTAATTAAGCTTATTAATGCTAAGCTACATCTAACTCTAACCCTGACTTTAACCTCAGTAACCTAAAGGAAACATTTCAGCTCTTTTACAGTATTGACCTATTTTTTAATGGCTGTTTTCCTTGTGGGGAACAGACAAATATCCCTATCATTGTGGGGAACAAGATAAAGATAAAAACACACCCCTAAACACCCCCCACCAACACACACACACATCAAGACACACACTGTCTTGTCTCTCTATTCACAATCAAAATGTGTGTGGGTATGAGTCAGTGTAAAGCTTAACCCGTGTTCACACAGATATAAAGCTCGTGTGTGTACAGGTTCCTGGTGTCTGACGAGCACTGCAAGGGTCAAAACGCTGATGTGTTTCCATGGCAACGGGGAGGAGGTAGGTGTCTCGGCTCTGTGGAAACGACCTTTGTAACCTACACATGACCTTCAATTAGAGCTCCAGCCAGAAAGCGCTGCAAAACACACACACACACACACACAGGCCTGTTTTTATTACTGAGGCAAAAACATCATTGAACAAAAACCTTATCCTTACTAAAATCAATATCTCCACGCACACACACAGTGCGTTTCATTTCACTGTTTAAATCCTACAGCAGTGTTCAGTTCTCCCTCTCAGAGATCATTATTATTATTATTAGTAGTAGTAGTAGTAGTAGTAGTAGTGGTGGTGGTTGTAGTAGCCATAATAATAATAATAATAATAATAATAATAATAACATAGAAAAGACTAAACATGCAAATATATATAAATATATAAGTGTTTATTTTAAACAGCATTAAGGAATTAGATATAAATCTAAGAAAAAACTGTACTGCTCTATATTTATTTAATACTTTACTAAATAGAGTAATAGTACGTAATTACCAATCTAGATAGTTAGCTATTTTTGTTCATCTCATCCAGTGACAGACCCTTAATATAATGCTAGTCATCTAGCTATATATAAAACACCTTCTTTTTTTATTAAGTTATTTATGTTTATCTACTCTAAAAACGATGGAGAAGATTGCATGACAGAGGGAAAGTGAGAATACAGTTCCCCTTTGCATTGCGTTTGACTTACATCACTGTGTTGCAATAGTGCCACACAGAAGTGCAATCACTGTCCAAATACAGCCCTAAGCTGTTCTCAGGGCGTGGCTGCAATCGAAAGAAAGAGATAAGGGGCTGAAAGTGTCATTTCCCCGGCAGTGTTGCTTTCCGTAGAAAGAAATGCTATTTAAAGGCTCATTATTTCTTCATTTCTACTGCACCGTACCCTTCATCATCAAGCTTTTCAGAATTATTAGTAAAACACGTGAATATTCCTAATAATATTATTCACAGCTCACAGCAGAATCTAGGAGTTATGCAGTCAAATTTCTTTACAAATCGCTCCTGACACAAGGTGAGTGTTAAATTCATTAAAAAGCAACACCCTGCTGATTGTTTTTCCACTGAAGCAATAATGAAGCTTTTTTTTTTAAAGTGTAGTTTGTTCTCTTTGTGCCACGAATAAAAATGCAATGTATCTGTGTATTAAATTTCACATTCACCACCCTTCATTCCAACATTATGTTTCTTATTCAATATTTAACCTTAATACCAAACTACAGAATACTGAATAAAC